TTATTCGTCCGCAGACCGAGCTCAATTCAATTATGTCGGTTTATTCTTTATATGCCCGCGAACTCCCTTACCAATGCTGGGGCCACTCGTCTTATTATTGCTCGCCGTTGAGCCTCGACTCCGGCTGAGCTAACATTTGTATTTGCTCGCCGTTGAGCCTCGACTCCGGCTGAGCTAACATTTGTATTTGCTCGCCGTTGAGCCTCGACTCCGGCTGAGCTTACATTTATATTTGCTCGCCGTTGAGCCTCGACTCCGGCTGAGCTCATATCTATATTTTTCTCGCTGTCGAGCCTTGCCTCCGGCAGAGCTGTTATTTATATTTGCTCGCCGTAGAGCTTTGACTCCGGCTGAGTTAACACGTATATTACCTCGTCGTTGAGCTTTTGCTCCGACTGAGAGGACTTTATATTTTCTCGCCGTTGAGCCCTGACTCCGGCAGATCTGATATTTCCATTTATCTCGTCGTTGAGCTTTTGCTCTGGCTGAGCCCACACTGGTTAGGCAAAGTCAATAAGACCTTTCCGGCTGGGAAACATAAAAATTTTATACCGAGTTCTTCAGCTCGGTAAAGTAAAATCAAATAAAAATAAGTCTGCTAACCGACGACGGCACTATAAAACAAGCCGACTCTCGAAAAATAATTCGGCTAGCCGACGACGGTACAATAAAAAGGCAGATTCTCAAAATATAATTCGGCTAACCAACGACGGCACAGTAAAAAAGCCGAATCTCGAAAAATAATTCGGCTAGCCGACGTCGGTACAGTAAAAAAGTCGAATCTTAAAAATAAAGTCGGCAAGGCACAGAACCTACCGACATTCCTTTAAAAAATTCAGCGAGTAAAATGATGTGCTGAATATTCTAGTCGGAAAGGCACAACACCTATCGACAGATAAAGTCAGACTCGACAACATATCGAGGTAACATTATTTTTCGTGCGTTTATCATTTCTTGCACGAAGTCATCATACATTCATACATTCATACGCACGTCATTCATACATCTTGACATGAACATAAAAAGTCAAGCCAAAGAAGTCCTTAAAAACCCACACTGGTGAGGCAAAGTCAATAAGACCTTTCCGGCTGGGAAAAATATAAAAAGGAAAATTCTACACCGAGTTTTTCAGCTCGGTAAAATAAAATAAAAATTATTCGGCTAATCGATGTCGGCACAATAAAAAAACCGAATTTAAATGAAATAATAATAAGAAATTCTTAACCGAACCCTTAAGTTGGTTTGGCAAGGTTAAACGCCTTAAGAATCAGGAACATACTACCCGACTGGGAAATAATTCAACAAAAATAAAAGACCAAAGACCGGATACCGAATTATCCGACCAGGTCCATATAATAAAGAAAACCAATCCCACACACAAATCGCGTCGTCTCAATACGACAGAACCGCGAATCCGGTAACAATTCGGGGGGCCTGAATACCCATACAAACCCATATCATTATTGCAATCACAAACGCAATTCATTAAACGTTTCGCGTTCCACGTAAAAAACGCGAAAGTCGGGTACCAAATTGCCCGGCTAGGCCATCCAGGCTCCACTCCAAATTCCAGAAAAATTGACTATCCACATCATTGGCTCCACGGGTCCCAAAGTACCCGGCCATCATCGATTACGGTCAAAATTGATAATACATGCGACTTCAGAACAGTTTTATTCAAAACATGCCCTAAAGTCGGGGGCCTACTGTTAGTACCTAATTTTGGCCTAGCTTATTAAAATATTACACGTGGATATGTATTATATTAATTATTTTATTATTGGGATATTTTTGGGCCTTAAATAAAATTGTTTGTGATATTATCGGGCCCATTAAACATATATATATAAATACCCCAATGATGGACCTGGATAGATAAGTCTGAGGGGCTACTATTATTTTTCTCTCATTACGACAGAGGCACCGCCTCAAGATTTTCCTATTCTTTTTCTTCTATCTTTTCTTCAACAGAATACAGAGGAAATAATATACAGAAATTCCTCGAAAATTCATACAAAAAATCATCAAAAATCACCAAAAAATATATATCCAAAAATACACAATAAATTCCTCTGAACCCCCCATGTTGGCCAATTTTTGGTAACAACAGGGCTAAGATAGACAAATATCCCCCACTGGGGTTCATAGGAATGAATTTGAAAGTGAACAGCAATAAAAAAATCAGAATTTACAGCTTGAAAGATACTAACATCAGAGTTCCAAAGCAGTAATAAGCCACCACTAAGACCTAAAGGATCAACCACTGAAAATCTATCATCAAAACCTAACTTATGAACCACAGTTTTAACAAAAGCTTTGGATTTTTTTGTTTCAGAAATAAAGACAAAAACCGGGTGGTGAGATCTCAAAATCCCTCTGATTTGGGAAACTGTAGAGGGCCCACCCAGTCCTCTACAGTTCCACACCGCAGCTAGCATTTGGGACTTGGGTGCCAATCAAGGCTGGCCACCCCCACCTCCTTTGGATTTGCTTTGAGCTTTTTAATGGTTGGATCTGTCTGAGTTTGGTTGTCCTTAGCTTCATCAATTGCAGGACAGTCAGCATTATCCCTGCTCCTCTTTCCTTGTAAATGGATTTCAGAACTTGTTTCTTGTCTCTGAAGTCGTCCTTCCTTTTTGCCAGCTCTCTTCCATGTCTTCAAGATGCCTTTGCCTTTGTCAGATTTCAAGGGAGAGGGATCTTGAGTGATAGGAATCAGTCTGGTTTCAATGTCCATGGGATTACCAGGTTCCTCAGTTTGGTGAACAATTTTAGAGGTTTCTGAGGTTTTGTGTTGGATAATAGGAGAATTAGAAGTAGAGCCATTGACTGAAGAGGGGAGAGTGGGGTTTGGGTTCTCTTGATGGAGAATGATTTGGTGTTTGTGAGGTGTCTGGTTGGTTGCATTTTGATGGTAGCTATGCATGGGAGAATGACTTGGGCTGGAGTTGGGTCTTTGCGGGCTGAGTGGAGGACTCTTTGATCCGGAAGTGTTAGTATTGTTGAAAACACCAAACTGACCTTCAGGGGCTTTAAGCCAATCCCCATACTGACCTTCTCTCACACTACTGGATTTGATGTCTTGAACCTTTGCAAGGCACCCATTCTCCAGATGGCCAATATGTCCGCAATAATGGCATAAGTTCCTGAGTCGTTCATATCTGAAGCTTATGGAAATAATCTGATCTCCAAGTCTGACTTTGGTGCATCTGGGAATCGGCTCTGTCAGGTCCAGGGTCACCAGTAATCTAAGGAATTTGCCTCCATGACTCCCATAATTAGCTATCACCACATTGTCCACTTCATCAAAAACTCTACCTATCTTAATGCCCACTTCAGTGCAAAGCCAATTCAGTGGAACATTGCATACTTGTGCCCAAATTTTAAGTTTCTGGAAACAAGTATGCTTGCTGTTCAATCCTTCTAACCATTCTGATAAAATCAGATACTGATTCTCAAAGGTCCAATTAGTACCTCCTAGCACTTTCTTAAGGTCCTCTTTGCTTTGGAATATAAACTGAAAATAATTGGGTTCTAGTTCTTTTACCTCCATAGGCTGAGATAGTCTCCAAATTTGACTCATGGATCGTTTAACTCCTATCCAGCTGGCTGGCCTATCTCCAGCAATCTTACCAAAAAGGCTGCGACCGCACTCTTCCGCACTATATCGGATATCTTCTTCAGCGATATCAACTAGCAGTGCCTCTCTACCCGAGAGCGAGAAGTTTTCCATGCGACTGGACAACTCATCGTCGTGGTTGGGACTTGGTGTTCTTGCCATTATACGTGGTATAGCTCGCTGAACAGCTAACCCTAGGATTATGAGCTCCAACGGAAAGGGGAAAAACCAACAGGAAGAAAGAGAGTTGAGCTATCGATCAGACAACAATCAACACAAAATTCTAGCACTCTATCGAAGATTTCGCTCCCAATCGAGAGAATCCGAAGCTCTCCATTGAGAGAATTGATTTACAACAGTTATACAAATGATTAAATAGTTAAAATGTTATATCAATTATATTTTAAGAAATCTGATTATATAAAAATGGGTAAAAAAATATTATACTAATTAGTTTGTTAGGATTGTGATTATATGGAAGTTAAAATAAAATGAATGTAACCAAAAAATTTGTTCGTGGTCTTTTCCTTTAAATGTTTGAATTTAAAAATTTAGTAACCAAATTTACATTATATCACGTAAGGAAAAAAATAAATAATAAATATTTATTATAGAGATAAATCAATAATATTTATCACTTAGATAATAAGTAATAAATATTTACATGTAAAAAAATAAATAATAATATATTTAAAAATATAAGTCAGAATTTCAAATAAAGTAAAAGGAGGGATAACTCATTTTTTAAAAAAAGTTTCTAAATATTTAATATATTGATAAGTATCTCCATAAGAATAATCATACCATTTTAATTTTAAAAAAATTGGCAAGTTTGTTAGAGAGATAAATCCGGTTAGACAAATGATTAATTTGTTAAGATATTATATTAATTGTATCATAAAAAATCGGTTAGATAATGTAGATTGTTTGGAATCTTTTCCTTTAAAGTAAAAGGTATGCTTATTCAAATTTATTTTTAAAATAAAAGTTATGCTAAACATTTATTGATTCTCTTTCAAATATATTAACAAAATAAAAATATAAATCTAAACAAATTTTGAAACAACCAAAAAAATCGGATTGATTGGCATAAAAAAAGGAAGTGAAATCGGATTTGAATGCTAAAATCGGACACCTTACCAAATTGAATGCTAAAAGATTCGATTTGATTGGTTACCTAATTGCACGGGCTGAAAAAATTCAAAGAAAAATTTTACGAATTGAAGAAGCGGGAAAAACACTATATTGAAGCGGGAAAACGAAATGATTTTTTTCGGATTGTTCAAATATTTTTTCTTCTCCGTAGTACATAGTAATAGATATATCCCGAATAATTTAGTAAATAAGAAAAATAAAAATATTTCTTCGCCCACTAGATAATATTGGATTTGTTGGTTGGGTTTCGTGTTCATTCTCAATTCCTAATACAAGTGTTACAGACACTGTTAAATTCAACCAGCATAATGGATCCGATTTATCCAATCAATTTCATTCTTTCAAATTTATTGGGAAAGGAAAATTTCAAGAGCATTCGAATTTGATAACCTAGCTGTGATCGTTTTTTTTTTTTCAAGCTCGCCTTGCTTCTCCATCTACACGAACGCAGATAGGAAAACGACGGTAGATCCAGGAAAATGGAGGGAAATCCACCTGTGAATCCGATCCCAAACGAAGCTACTGTGAAGCGTTACAAATCCATTTGGCGTGTGGTGCTCATTTTCAACTTCGCTCTTGGCGGTCAGTCTATTTTCATCATACTGAATTGTTGAAACTCATTTGTTATTAATCATGGAATAATAACCTAGGGTTTTGTCTATTCTATGTGTTTGTTTGTTAAGTGGTCGTGGGTTATCCTTTTTACAAACTTTAATTACTCGGTGTTCTTGTTTATTATTTAAGTTTTGGAAACCTGGGCTGGGTTAGCCGTGGTATAGATAGGATTATCAATATGTGTCGTTTTTGGCGCATTGTTATCTGCTGCTTGTAATTCATGGGCCTTCTACTCCTCTTCTATACCTTGTGCCTCTGGGAACTGATTTTGATTCTGTATGAGATATATTCACAAAATTGAAGCAACCTACCTTCCACTTTTGACCTATGTTAATACTTTTCACATAGTGGTGCAGGATTTTTGTAGATTGTAAAGCATCATAACACCTTGCTAAATTGTTGATTATACCATTTTAGCTGAATTGGTTCGTTATTAATCGGCGCTCTTAGAGTTTGATAGACAAATGCTTAGTGGATGGTGGTGGTATCTGTTAGTAGCACATTAATTTTGTTGATAGCAGCAGCACATTAATTTTGTTTTAAAAGGATAGCAGGAATGCATTTGGTGTTTCTGTATTTTTGTGTTTGCATATGCATATATTAACACTTAGGTCGCCATGCTTGATGTGATAAGATCATTCCAAAATTTTGTGAGCTTGCTACTTATTGAAGAATAAGTTGTTTAAATTGTACATATATTGTTAACTAGTAAAGTGCTCGTGCGATGCACATTGTGTTAATTTTTTTGCTAATTAATTTTGTAGTAAAGAAAAACAATTATTTTATTAATCATGTCAATGAGGGAGTAAAAATAAAAAATAAAAAGAATAAAATGAGTACTTATTGTAAATTTAAATAGAATAATATTATGAGTTTGTGATATGAAGAGATTGCGATAACATATTCACGTAAGGGTAAAATAGATGAAAGAATAATGAATTGCTAAAGAAAAGAAAATAAAATAGCTAAATAACACATCTATTTTATAGAAGGCTTTACGAGTAATATTGTCAAAAAACTGATTAAATTATCTATTTTATTTTAAAATTACACATCTATATTCTTTTGATCCTGATTTCTTAAATTGTACTTTTTACCTAGTAAATATTAAATAATAATAGTTTTATTATTTTGGTTTGTGAATTATGAAAAAAAAAATTCATGTCTCATAAATTAAAATTNAAATAATAAGGACGACTATAAAACTCTCTTACCAATTATTCTGCAATTTTTATGAAATAAAACTTTCAAAACTCATGGTATTGATATGTGTCCATAGTTAATTCTCATTTCTTCAATGCGTATGCCATATGAATTTTTTTAAAGTTTTTTACAGCCAATAATATTTGTTAACATCTCAGAACCAAAAAAGATTAGTAGGCCTTGTAACCTCCGATACTTTAAAACGTCAATTATATCAGTTAACACGTAGTTTCTGACACCCAATTATTTAGAAGTTCTTTATAGGCAAACTATTTTCTTCCTACAAGTGTATTTATTCCTACAAGTGCATTTATTCCTACAAGTGTATTTATGCTTAAGAATTCTTATACATTTAAATTCTCAATAATAATAGATAAGATTTGTTTTAATAAAAAAAAATTATGCATTAAAAATTCTAAATTGTATAATAATTGTTAGAGTTATTATATGCATAACACTTTATTAGGATAGCTTCTTATCGAAGGCTTTACAAGTTATTTTTTTAAAAACCGATTAATTATTTAAAGAACGCTTCAATTATTTAAACAAAGAGCATAAGATTTTTCTTTTCAGTCAAAACTGAATGTCACAATGCCATAATAGCATGTGTGTAGTTTTAGAAAGCAAAAATTACCATGATAGAATAAGGAAGTGAAGGTATGATAAGATTATGTCAAAAATTTGAAAGGACGAGTATTAGTTTGTTGAAATGCCACTAGTGAAAATACATAAGATGGTAAATTTTTTTCAAAACAAGTGCATAAAAGGGTATTGGCTGCAATTCGCCAGATAAGTCTTCTCAACTCGGAAGTTTAAATAGTCTCTCATGATCTTACTCTTTAATTTTTTACTTTTTATTAACAAAAGACATAATCGTTATAATAAGAATCCTATAATATTAAAATACTTTGTGATTACCATTGTGCCATTTAAAAATAAATAAATAAATATATTGACTTTTTAGTTCGGGCAATTTTTTACAAAATCACTCCTCCTTTTATGCTTTATAATATAATAGTATAGATGTTTTGACACTATTGTGCACTTATGCCCCACATATCAACCTTATCAGATCTTTATGTTGTTTATGACTCCAACTTCTTTCCTTCATCTTTATAGGCATCCACAAGTTGAGATCAACATCCTTAAGCAAATGACACATTGTGCTCTGAAATATATCATGTAGGATGTCTAATGAATATATTGAACTCTGTGGTCATGGCAAGTGTTGGTTTAAGATTTATGTTATTATTTACATATGCTGTCATATGGTGTTTGCAAAAGTTGTGAGGTGTTCAGCTATAAATCACTTGATCTGGCAATGTTGCTCGTAGCTTATTTTAGTGAAAATGTGTTAAGCTGAGTCTAGGCCAATTCTATTACTGCAAGTAGAAGGGTGAGTTTTCAGTAAACGATAAAATTATTCTATTGTCGGCAAAATTCAGACCAAAATTCACAGAGATTCTAATGATTTGGAGGAAGTTTATTGCTACTTCTCAGTCTTGCCAGATCATGTAGATGCTTGGCAAAAGTCTCAACTAATGTTATTATTGTTTCTCTAATGTGCGAGTGTCCTTGAAGCACTTACACTTTTTAAAGTTTATATTGAAGGTACAGTTTGTCCACTAAAAAAAATTAAAAAAATAAATAAAAATCTGCTTCAAGGTGCATAAATAACCTCGATGTCTTTTTCGTCCTTATTTTTCTTCTATTTTTTTTGCCAAACTTTCCTCAAACCCTTAATGCCTTTAGTATTCTGGTTCTTATTTGTTAACATACTATGCAGGGTATATGTTTTGGCAGTCGGGTAAGAAACCAAGAGGAAAAGAGAAAACTGCTGTCCCCACTGAAGAAGTAGCCCCCGAAACTCCCGTTATCGTGAGTCCTCCAGTTGAACCTGAGCCAGTAATTCCTACTCCTATCACGAGTCCCGTGATAGTGCGACAGCCTGTCACAGAAGACCAGCAACGTGAAATTTTCAACTGGATTTTGGAAGAGAAAAGAAAGGTGAAACCCACGAGTCGAGAGGAGAAGAAACGAATGGATGAGGAGAAGGCCATTCTCAAAGAGTTCATTCGCGCAAAGTCGATTCTGTGGATTTGATATGTTCGGTTGGGTATTGTAGTTTTAGGTAGTTTGTCGATCTCTGCCTTTCTTTGGTTAGAAGAAAAATGGTTAACCTTAGATGAAGAGACATTTTTGGATAATATGCAGATATGCAGTAGTAGTGGGGTCAGTAGTTTTGATATTTTATTGCAATGCATTCGGAATTCATGTGCAATTTTACTCTATTAGAGGAAATTTTAACCGGACAATCTGATGTACGTGTGTTTTGTAGAAAATTGTTGGTGCTGATTACGTGCCGAAATTAGAGTACATGATTTAAATGGGGACTGAATCTCTCACCTTCTTGAATTTTTATTATTAATAAGGGTTCCTTGTATCGTCACAATGTAGTCTTACAAGTAGAAGTGGCCAAGCCTCAGTTTCGGGACGGCTTTGGGTTGGATATATTCGCATAAATAAATAAATGACAAATATATACTTGATTAAAACATAAGTATTGTCAGAACTTTTACACTATAATCAACAATCTCTTACTTTTACTCTACAAACTTTCGGCTATATTAAGTATACACTATTTCAATCTAATTATCAAAGAATCTAAACTAGTCGCCATGCGCTTGACTCTCATTTCTTCCACGTGCCTCTCGAAGACCCTCTCCGGAAGACCCTTCGTAAAAGGATATGTTTGGTTGTCCTCATCTCAATCTTGGCAACAACGACCTTCCCTCTTCCAGCGATTTCGTATTAAGTGGTACTTGTGCTCTATGCGTTTACTCGTCTAATGAGTCTGTGGTTTCGTCAAGTTTGCTATTGTTTCGCTGTAATCACAAAAGATCATGATTGTAGCAGGCAAACTTAACACCACATTAAGGTCTAACAGGAAGTTCCTGAGCCAAACCGCGTACTTCGCTGCTTTTGAGGTTGTGAAGTACACGACTTCCATGGTGAAGTTTGCCACGTTTTTCTGCTTGACGCTCCGCCAAATTATGGCTCCACCTCTCAGAGTAAACACAAACCCTAGTGTGAATTTACTTTCATCTCGGTCTGACTTGAATCAGAATCAGTATATCCTAACGAGTTTAACTCGTCTGCACGGTAAACTAACATATACACCTTAGTCCTTTCACAAAACTCACGATTTTTCTCACTTTTTGCTCTCGGTTTTTGGCTGAGTTTTTTTGCTCAAGATCGAGAATCTCATGTGTGGAATATGTGTGTGTTGGAGGAATAGCACTTAGTGTGTATATATGCTACAATAGAACCATAAAGAGGTGCTAAATATGGACTCCTCAATTGTGCATCAAACTGTGAACCTGGCCCCACTCCACACACAATGGAATAATATAAAACACCACAATAATAATATTATTGAATTCCTCATTTAGCCCTTGAAATACAAATAATTCGTCTCCCAGCTAATTGCTCATTTACCTCCATATGTTTAAGATCTAATATCCGTCGATTAATTTAATTACTGACAATATAATCAATCAACTTCTATATCCAAAACTAGTACAACTCAGTTCTTTATTATTATGTCGGGAGCTAATCTGCCTGCAGGGCTTAACATAATAATCCTTCCTGAGCTTATTTCGGGGACGTCATCAACCCCGACGGAACGGGACACAGTGATCGTAATAATTTCACTACAGCACATCGTATAATCATTCATTACTTACCAAAATAAGGAGCCTGTCGACCTACCAAAATAAGTCTCACCCATGGTAAATTAAATAAACAAGTACCGAATACACATGTCTGTTTCTATTGCCTTACGAGTTAAGAGAACGCATTAATTACTGAGGTCTAGATTATTTACTTGGTCAGTATGAAATAATCTTCTCCTTTGAAAGTTCGTCCAATACATCCGAGATGTACTAGTGTACTTTATTAATCAAAGACCAACTTATTCGAAATCAACTACAACCTTTCATGACAGTCGGTTCAATTTCGTCTGTGCTGTGAACAAATGATTTATATTTTAGACGGCACCGATAACATTTTATTCGACACATCGAACTATATTATCTACAATGTAAAATAAAGGAACTATGTTCACATAAATAAATAAACTGCAAAACATACACTTGACTAAAACATGATTTTTATTCAAAACGGTATTGTTATGAAATGAAAGTTGAGCCCTTACACTATACCTTAACATGTGGGTGTGGATATTTCGGCCGCAGACAGACGAACGTCGGGCAGAGATGCGGCGGCGCCTGACGGCCTGAGCAAATGTGTGTGTATTGTGTGTGTGTGTGGGAGTCGGGGTCTGCAAGTATCGTATGTGTGTGTTGTGTGTGCGTTTTGTGAGTGAGCGAGGGTGGATGGTGATGTTTGGTGGGGCCCATATTTAGTTAGGTGGTGATGGGTCAATGGGTTTTGGTGGGTGAGTTTGGTATAGAGCGAAAAGTGTTCAAAATGTTTTTAATGAGTGTAAAAAATTATTTTTTTTTAAGTTGAATGATCTGATTTTATGGCTAAGATGTATTTTTATTTTCTTTAAGTAACCACAATTATAACTTGAACCCAAATCTCTGTCTCTATATATATATATATATATATGTATATAACATTTTATTTATATTTATGCTGACCTTTTTTTTATTTATATTTATTTAAGCTTTAAAGCCAAAATAAATAAGAAACACAAGACACCCCTGATTGAATTGCAATACCATCTGGATGACCCAACAATAGCAACAATATTCTTTTATTACATCCCAAATTAATCAATTACCCTTTTTTTTCTTCAACACAATTCATCGATAGAAATTAATCAATCAATTATTAAGTGAAGCAATTTGACGAGACTGTTGAGATATAACCGCATCCGTTGACGGGCTGTTTTCCAACACAACATCATAACCATCGCTCCAATTCTCCATTCCCTCAGCCATCACTTGCCAAAACAGCGCGCCCCCACACGGGCCCCCACTCCGCGCACATCTGTACACGCTCCCGTACACGTTGCCCAGATAGTCGTCCCTTGCTTGCACGCTGTAGCCCGAAGATCTCGAAGACTTGCCGAACTCTGTCACCAATAGTGGCTTCCTCACAATAGATTTCGAGTCCTCCACGTGTTCTTCTATCCATTTCTCCACAAATTCACCTTGGGCCTCCTCGCTTGATCCCGGGACCCTGTGATAATATATATCATGTTTAGAAGAAATCTAACCATTTTATTTATTTATTTATTTTTTTGAAGAAAACACCCAGGTCACTAGGAGAGTGACCTGTATATATAAAAGGCCCTGAATAGATTGAAAAGTCACAAATCTAACTATTTTATTTAAAATTCACTTAATTTGCAATACAACAACAAAACACCAACCATTGGTCGGGGTATATATGAATTGTTGCAAAGTCGACTTGAGGGATGAGATTATTGGAAATGAAATCGGTGCCAACTTCATAACCGGGATTGTTCTGTTTCTTATCCGGCATCGACTCTCCGTAAAATCCTTCCATTCCAATTTCGACGAGATGGTTATTGTCGATTGATTTCACGTGAGCAGACATTTCTGCCGCCCAATCCTAGAAATTGTCACGAGGGCGGCCGGTGTCAGTTGTGTTTTTTCGACAATATTCTAATTAAACATAATGATAATAATAATAATAATAATTGTTCAGGTAAATAATAAAGAGTGGCAGCTTAAAGCTACCTGAATAGCTTTTCCAGAAAGGTCGGATTGACAACGGGGTTCGTTCATTAGCTCCCATCCGAGAATTGTGGGCTCGTCTTTATAAGCAACTCCAGTTATTGAATTTACTCTAGTCAACACGGCCTGGAATTTAATTAACACACCTTAATTTTATGTGAAAACTAATTCATTCATATAGAAAAACTAATTTGATTAGGGATTATTTAATTACCTTGACATGATTTTTGTAGTAGCCTTTAGTAATTGGACTGGTGAAAAAGTCATCGTCGCTATTCATGTACTGGCCCTGATCCCTGGCCCATTGAACATACTGTCTTTTCCCTCCAAAACCTTCCCAATTGTTCACCAAGCTCAGTATCAAATAAATCCCATGCCTTTTAGCCTCAGACACCACAAAATCAAGACCCTATATATCAAACAACACACATATATATATATATATATATATATATTCCAATTAGTAATGATTAATGAATGACTAAAACTATATATATATATATATATATATATGCATGAATAGAGTTGATGATGAATATATATATGTTACATTACCTTGAACATATCTTCATCATACAAACCAGGAGATGTCTGAAGGGCTCTATAGCCACCGTCACTAAAAGCCCAAGTCCTTGCCACATTCATCCCGTACTTAGAAGCCTCCTCAAAAGTATTTGTTACCTTGTCCTTAGTTGAAGGGTCAGAGCCCATATACATTAGCCAATATGCGTTGAAGCCGTTGAAATATAACGGCCTTCCGTTCAAAACGAATTGGCTTCCACTCGTCCCCACAAAACTATCACCACGGACCCGCCTGGCCTCGCCAAAGCCTATAAGAAGGGCCGCGAATACAAAACCAATAGCCAAACTTTGTCTCAACATATTGATTGTATTTTTATTAATTATTAGTATGATTTTTAGTGTGTTATAAGGTACTTCTTGTTGTGAATATAATTCATGCATGGTGAAATGGGTATTTATAGGGTTTGATAGTTAGTTTGATTGTTAAGAATCACAAGAAAAGGATGGGAAAATGCGTGTTGTGCAAATATATTGATTATGAGGATGGGTTATTGCTTGCATACATTTCCAAGGACAAAACGGGACGGTTTGCGTTTTTCTCTTTTTCTGTTTTATTTTCATTTTTTTTTTTTTTAAATTAAGGGTTGTGATTGTCATTAAACAGCTGCAACAAAATACGATAATGTGAAAATCTCAAGGTGGATTATTTCTCTTTTTTCTTTAGTTTAGTTTATTTATCTTAGCACTTGATTAAAGCAAGGATAGTTATAACTAATTACGTTAGCTAGAAGTTAGAAGTGCGTATACAATGAAACAAAAGCGATAACTATAAATGAATTTGCATGCATAATATTGTTGTACAAGTTGGCAAGAGGGAAAGAGGTGACAAGACAATCATCGCTTTTATGGAAGATAGCGCAAAAATTCAATAACGTATTTTAGCATAAATAGAACTAGTACAATTTCCGTGTACTACACGGGTGTTTTATAAAAAAATAATTGTCCAACAAAAAGTGAAAGAAATAAAATTCTTATTGTGAATTAAAAAAATATAAATAATTAATAAGAAAATATTTTTTGTAATATTATTTTGAATTTTGTAAAATATTTTTATGAAGTATTATTTATTTTATTTAATATATATATGTATATATATACACACAACTCAATAATTTAA